AATTTGTTTCAATGTGCTAAATTAAACAAATTTAAAAGATACAGTACTTGTTTTATCACACTGCAGTATTTCACCTGCAATTATTGGGCAGGGTTGGGGGCATATTCAGCCCCCAGGCTGTAGGCTTTGAGTAACCACAGCCCCTGATGCGATTTAGTTAATTAGCCCTGACGTTGATGAATTTGTTTGCAGCAACAGAAGACAACTTCATAAAAGCTGATGATGCAGGAACTGATTTTATTCATTTTATTCAATACTGATTCACATTTGTTTCCAACAAGCTTCACAACACAAAAATGCAAAAACTATGCAAAGGATGCAACTCTGTGGACAGCGATTTATGCAAAGTCATGACAACACGGGACATTTGAGCTACCTTTGTGCAGCCAGTAGGCTGCAGACAAGTTTAACAAGATAAAACACAGATTACATATTTAATGATGACTCGTCCTTATCTCTTACTGCCAGACTTTGAACGCCTTTAACCTCGGATATATTTAGGCAGTTTGAAGTGATAGCACCAATATAAGTCTTTACACAGGGCTTAGGAAAGAGGAAATGTTTAAACAGAGAGAGAAGGCACTTGCAGCTGGATTATATACGTTTGAATGAGACTGTTGGATTTCAACACAGAAAGAAGCTGCTGTCATCATAGGAAATTAGCCAACACTGAACAAAAGGCTAAATATTTAGTGTTAGTTCTGTCAGGAAGAGAGTTTCTGTCTTAACATTGAAGAGAAAACTGTGTTAACTTCATTTGAACCTTACAAAATAAGAGCTCATTTTACTTCAGTTATTGTTTTTCACAAGAAGAAGTGTCAGTTTCAGATGTCTTTCAGCGTGTCTTGTCCCTTGGGGTCTTCCAGCCAATGAGGCGGCCAGCTGGCCTTCATGCTCGGTCTCTCCTTCAGCCGGGCGTAATACTCCCCCAGCTTAGGGTAGCGCTCCGCAGACAGCCTGCAGAGCAGACAGCAGGCAGGCATTTACAATTGAAACAATGGATCAGAACTGGTTTAACTGGTTAAGCATTTTTAAAAAAGGAAAAAAAATAATAAAATGGGGGGAGGATGGTTGTCTTCCTGTCGGCCTTACCCAAATCTGAAGAGAAACGCCACGGTCGGACCAACGACCACATCAGCCAGGGTGAAAGAGGGTCCCGCAAGGTAAGTGTCCGAACCCAGCTGGAGAGAAATGAGAATAAAACACATTATTATGACATCACTTCCTGTTGATCTGAAGTGTTTGTGTGGTTTTATTCACACAACCTTCTGCAGGTAGCCCTCCCACAGTTTCAGCTCAGCGACCAGATTTTCCAGGTTTCTCTTAACGGCCGAGTCGTGCCGTTCTTCTTTGGGGACGTACCACTCGTAGAAGATGACCTTAGCTGAAACAATAAAAAAAAAAAGGGTTTGGCTTTAGATGGGGATCATGTTACTTCCTGCGTCTGCATGTTCGTTAGCAAAACATCTCATGAACTAATGACTGAAATTCTGTAACTTTCAGAATATCATCATCATCACTGGACGTACAGCTCCAGCTGATTTCATCACTGGAGCCAAAAGGATCACGGCAAACATACACAGCTGTATCTCAAGTCACTTTTCCAGATGTTGAGCTAAACATTGGTGTAGTGGTGGCTGAGAGTCGCCCCTATCACACACTCTGAGGGATAACAGCATTTATTATAAATATTTACAAACTGTACTGATTTCTAAGACATCGTTGAGACAAAAATAATCAAAAAATGTTACACGAAATCAGTGTTTTAAGCAAAATTGAGTAAATATGAATGATAAAGTGAAGTATTCTTTAAAAAAAATCAAAAATAAAATCTTACTCTATTATATATAACTGATAAAAAAGCAGGAAAATATTTGTTTTAACATTACAGAAAAAAACAGTTCAAATGTTAAGTCAACTCTGGCTAATGAACATGTGTAATATGTTGTTTGTTTATTAAGGTTTTTATTTTATTCTTGTAATTTTGTTTTTATTACACATTTTAGGTCTTAATTTTAACTTGAGTATTTGTGTTCTTATTTGCACTTGAAAACTGCCTCTCAGATTTTGTTGTACGATGTTTCATTGTTGTAACAACATTAAAGATTCTGATTGTGAAGTCGCAGTGATCGAACCACCGGTTCATCGTTTGTCTCACTGAGTTTATCGTAGAACGTGAGTCCCTCAAACATGCGCTGGTACACCAGAGCCTGATCTTCTGGGCTGTCTGGGATCAGCTTGGTCCCCTGAGTCTTGAATTTACTCTGTCAAAAACACAAGACAAGACAAAATAAAATAAAATAGTTGGGAAATTGGGATATTTAATTTTAGATCTTTAATGTTTAGTAAGGGGCGTGGCTTCCTCACCTCAAGGTAGAAACAGGCAGCGTAGGATTCGTTAACGACAACATTTCCATGTTTGAAAGCTGGAACCTGAAAATAAAGATATAATATATAAAATGTCATTACAATGAAACTAGTGATAAATTTAAGACAAAAAAAATATATAATTTGTCACAGCGTACTTGAAAAGCCCCTTCATCAACATTAGAACCATTTTATTTTGAAATTATTACATTTACTTTTTCTAATTCAATTAAAAACGTTTTACTAAGATCATTTCTAACCCAATGCTTCACTTGGAGTATTTTTTTTTTGTTGTTGTTAAATAATTCAGTTTGATTTATTCGCCAAACAAGATAAATGTTAAGATTCACCAACTTTTATTTTTTGTTGCGTTAGTGACAAGTTACGTAAGTTACGTAAGGGGGCGTCTGAGGTTACGTAACAAAAACGGTTGCATTGCAAATTTAGCTGATTTCTTGTGGTGCGTTCAAATTTTGAGGGGAAAAAAACAATTGTTTGCAATTACTAGAACTTTAAAAGCGCAAATAATGTTTATTTTGTGCTAAGTATTATTTGTATTTAAACGAAAGGCTGACAGTGGGATATAAGATACAGATAATCCGTCTGTTTTGATTGTTTTGGTTTTATTGCAGCTCAGACATGTTCCCTACCTGTCCCCTCGGGTTTATATCCAGCACTTCCTGGGACTTGTGCTCCATTTTGTCGAAGGAGAGCAGTTTGCTGTTGTAGCCCTGCAGGTTCTTCTCCTCCAGAGCGATCATCACCCTCCAGCAGGGGGGAGAGCCGGAGCCCCACAGCAGAGTCATGTCCTTGGCCATGTTTCTAGGTTTAGAAGAACTCTCCGAACACTGAAAGATTTGAAGAGACAGAGTCACGAGACACGACGCGCGCGATCACCGAGCTTTCTTTGATTCTTCGAAGGAGGGAGGTCTCATAAACTTTATTGAGCGCGTGCTGCCACCTGCTGGCCAGGAGAAGAAAATACACCCCATAGAAGTAGAAGCTTCAGTGTTTATTTACCTGCTTCAGCTCACCTGCTGTTAATTAATAAATTATTTACAAGCTTCTGATGACCTTGAACACATTTGAATCAGGTTTGTTGGAGCAGGAAGGACAGCAGATCATAAGACCCAGTGTGGTCTGAGCTCTTCTTAGTCATCAAAGATATCTGCACTGAAGTCACTATTTAATTTAACACTAAATATTTTATAATTAGCTGATGACATTTATTACTTTTGTCCTTCTCATGCCAAACAAACACGTCAGGACAGTTTCTCAAATGAACGGTCAGTGAAAATTTTCTGAGATTGTTAAAATTAAGGCCTAATATACTGTATATATA